TAATTAGCCAACAACTGGCAATGTCCTCATTGACCACCCGTCCGGTTTCTTTCAGGCGTTTGTAGACAGAAGCGCCGCATGAACTACTTAGCAGATTACGTTCCTGTCCCGACCTTGAACGGGTATCGATCGTCCCGTCTCGATTAGTAGACTCACTGACCTGTCGGTGCATAGCTGCTGCTCGACTGGCACCGGTTGTGGTGCTGTGCTTGTCTCTTCGACAGAGAAGCGATTCGTCGCTCTTTCAACGGTCGTTCGACGAGGACCTCCGGAAAACTGAGGCACGCTTTCCTAATTTTCTGTGACATTCCAGGAATTCTCCAGATTTGTCATTCATTCAGCAACGTACGTTATTTAATTACTTTCGCTAACATTTTACCACCAGCTCTAGCCTTGGATCTTTAACGAGTTTGAAACTTGAAGCTTAAGTCAAAAAATTACTTATTTTTTTTGTATAGTCGATATTCACTTTGCACTGTTCTCTCGAAACATTTTTGTATATTAATCAGAGGTGTAGTTACTGTGAGTTTTTTGACCTCCATGTACTTTGAGCCGCTGGATCGTTTTCAAAAAACTTCTTCGTTGCTTCTAAGACAGATAAGCAGCACTGGTGTGCAGTGGTACTCATCTTCTCCAGAAGTCAGGTCTCTAAACAGGACTGCCAGTTTATCGTTGTGCCAAAATCGCAGGTCTTATTTTTCGTCTGCAAGGCATCTTAGGTCTATTGTTGACTAGAATCACCTAAGAATTTTATTTTTCATCAAAACTATTTAGTAATGATTATTTTACTAGCGCCTGAGCGATTTTTATGGAGGAAAAACTTTCGAACAAACTTTTGCCGTACATGCGAAGCTGGTAATACTAGCACAGGTCACCGGCTACAAACCCCAGGGATGACCAAGAATGACCTGGCAAATGCCTGGCGGATTTGGCTCCAAATTCAGGCTGTATTTTGCCGAAGAGTAAACGCTGACATAGGAATGGAAACATTAGCCACACTCAGACAGACGTATCTGCCTCAGCGACACGGAAGGATAATTGGTAATCGAAGTTACTAACTCTTATGATTTATTGGATGTGATTAATTAAGCCAGATCGGTCAGTCGCTCATATCTGCCCTTTAATGAAAGTTCTCTCAGATCAATAGTCTTTACCATTGGTTCACTAATTATCAGGTTATACCGTAACGTTTTGCAATATCCCGTCGTCAGCCTTGAAATTAAAGTAGATTAGTTTCGCCTCATGGCGATGTTTTCAAATAATACCTAATGACCTCAAATACGGTTGCTTTCATGCCCGTGATAATATTATCATAATCTTGCGCGCCTATCGACAGATGTGCGTTGCGTCAATCAGAAGAATGCCCTCGGGCCATTGCCGAAGGACGAGCCATGGGCCGAAACCCTGGTACCATTGTTTGAGTTCATATTTTTTGGTTGTCTTTTGATACAACGTCTCCTTGCAGCAATGAGTGCGATTGGCGTGGGTGGGCAGTCGCGTTACTCCAGTGTGAATCAGAGGACGCCATTGACTTCCACTGAGGAGAGCTGATTGGTAGACCGGTTGCTCATTTGCCGATGGTTACAGCCGCCTTCCAATCACTCGGTGGTCATGACTACTAGTCAGGATTTATAATGATCCACTAGAGCCTCGTTTGTCCACCGTTTCAAGGTTCACGATAGGCCTTCACGGCTACCGTAGCAACT